AACCACCTATGCCCCATACTACAGATCCTTTGAGCTTTTGGGATGAGAAAAGGGATGTGTGGCCTGCTCTCTCTCTGTTAGCCCAGGAGCTCCTTTCTTGTCCCCCAACCACTGTCCAGAGTGAACGTGTGTTTTCTGTTACGGGAAACATACTTTGCCCTCAGCGGTCCCAACTGGCACCGCGGCTCATGGAGCAAATGGCTTTCCTAAAAGTCAATCTGCCCAAGTTGGGTTACCCCACTCTTAGCTTTGACACAGATTAAACTACTTTGTCTATAACCTCCGTCTGTTTTTCTCTCTTTTGTCATTATTCTATACTTCTACGCTAAGCCCGGCCACTCTAAGGACCGGTAATACATTTACTATCTTTCCTTAGTAGATATCTGTGTCTCAGGTTTGCGTGTTGGGATATACCTTCCTTGACAGTGTTTTCTCTTCTGTTTAATCGTTCACCCAACCCCACTTTATGACATACTCCTTATTGATTGGCCACACTACACGTGGCTAATTTATTATGCACCCAACGACTACTATGATTGGTCCAAGTATTGTTCTATCTACACACAGGCTCCTATTTAAATCCTTCTAGGATTCAGTCACTTGTTTTCTCCTGAGGAAGGCGCCATGTTAGCGCTAAAACGCGCTTTGGGTTTTGGGCTTCAAGTTCTTTTTTTTTTACTCACGTAACTCACTATGGAACGGGTGTTTGTTGTTTGTTTACTTTAATTTATTGATTGATTTTGTTTTTTTTATGTATCCTACTAGCTAGTTGTTTAAAAATAAAAAGCATTCAGAGAGGCAGTATCCAATTCATACCACATCCACTACTTTATAAAACAAAATTTGTTTTTCTTCTTCTGAGTTCTGAACAAAATTGCATATATCATTGCTCTTAATTTGTTGAATTGATCTAAAGAAATAGTGTGCTGGGTTGTGTAATAGTTTGCCAACTCCTCCTCAATGTGTTCTGGATGGAACAGCTCTGTACTCACTTGAAATATGAGATTTGGCTTCTGAAGATGGACAACTCACGGAGGTGCCAAAAGAGCCATTGCCGTGGACTTTTTTCCGACTTGGATATGACTCTGCTTTGTAACCTAAATGAGAGACAGAAGGATTCCCTGACCGACAGTTGGTTGGTAAGTAATGGTATGTCAACACGTCAGGCAATGACATTCCATCACCTGCACTCTTAACACTCCCATCACTACTCGCATGCAGTAACACACCCAGTAAGCTTGATCCCAAACACAACTGTGCAATTCACCAGAAGTTGTGGCTGCTGTGCATGCACACAGCAGCCACAACTTCTATACTTTTATGTCCAATATCCATGCTGCACTGCTTCTTGCTTTTACTTGTGCACAACCTGCCCTGGGTTTAGTGCACTGCTCACACACAAATTAAGCTTTCACTAAACTGCTTCCAATCGCTATAAAGTTGGAGAGGCAAGTGTACTTCCCATTCACATTATAAACTGACATGACAATCCTCCGCACTCTTCCCATATGTATATTCACAACAAGTCATATCTCCAACAGGTGACACAAGACATGGATTCAAGGCCTGGCTGCTCACTTGTCACACAGCATCTTTGTCTTGCCGAGCAAGCCTACAATGAGACCTGGTCCATAATTAACTGAACCTTTAGATCACATTTGTGTGGCAGTGCTATACTCTCCTCAAAAGGTCGCTGGCATCGTCATTGACTGCTGTTGCCAATATATGATTGCAATGCCCCACCCATATGATCTGCCATATGAACTAGTGCCAGTGCTGCACACAGTGTGTGTTTACATTAAAAAGCCTGCAGGGACAAACTATAGACAATAGAACAACTTTATTAAGCTGCAGTGGTTCTGGGGACTATAGTGTCCATTTAATGTGAGGTAAATTAGAGATTAGTGTCACTAATAATATACTAGATTGCCTACTTACAATCAGATGAGGATGGTGATGGGCTCTGGCTGCAGTCTGGCTCCACTGGTCTGGTGTAGAACAGGATCTCTGGAGGCTGTTTGTAACTGTGGTCACAAAATTCAATGTTCTGGGAGAAAGGGAAGCAGCTCCATTTTTGGGGCCTCTTACATAGCTCAAGGTCTGGGCCCAGGGCCTGACGGTGAGTATGCCCATAAAGCCCACCCATAAGTCCACCTACATGTTCCACCCATGAGTTCGCTCACAGGGAGTAGAGTGTGTAGGGGATATGTTATGTGTAGAGGATCTAATGTGTGTGCTTATGGAATGTAGTGTATAGGGATACCAGTTTGTGTAGGTGATGCAGTGTGTTTGTGTGTAGTGGAAGCAGTGTGTTTCTGTGTAAGGGATAGAAAGCAGTGAGTGTTTGTGTATAAGGGATGTATTGTGTGTTTCTTGTTGTGTGTAAGGGATGCACTGTGTGAATCTGTGTTTGTATGCATAAGGGATACAAAGTGTGTTTCTGTGTATGTAAGGGATGCAGTGTGTGTGTCTGTAAGGGGTGCGTTGAGTGTATGTAAGAAATGCATTGTGTTTCTGTGTGTTTGTAAGAGAAGCAGTGTGTGTTTGCATGTGTGTGTAAGGGATGCATTGTGTGTTTCTGTGTATATGTGCAAAGGATACATTGTCTTTATGTGTAAGGGTTGCATTGTGTGTTTCTCTGTGTGTAAGGGAAGCATGTTGTGTTTCTGTGTGTATAGGGATGCATTGTGTGTGTGTGCGCATGGTGTGAAAGAGCTCCCCGTCCTGCCCCCTGTCCTATAGAGCTCTCCTTTCCATTCCTTAGAGATCTCCCCTGCCCCTTAGTGGTCTCTCCTCTCCCCCCCCACCTCCCTTAGTGGTCTCCTTTTCTCCCCGACGTTCCATTAGTGGTCTCTCCTCTCCCCCCACCCTCCCCTAGTGGTCTATCCTCCACCCCCCTCCCTTAGTGGTCTCTCCTCACACCCCTCCCCTAGTGGTCTCTCCACCGCCCCCTCCCTCCTTTAGTGGTCTCTCCCTCCCCTACGTTCTCATCTCCCACCCCCAGTGTTCTCCTCTTCTTCTCCCCCCGTGTTCTCCTCTTCTTCTCCCCGTGTTCTCCTCTTCTTCTCCCCCCGTCCCTGTAATCTCTTCTTCTCCTCCCTTGTAATCTTCTCTTCTTCTCCCCCTCCCTGTAATCTTCTCCCCTACCCCCTGTAATTTTCTCTTCTTTTCCTCCCTTCCCTCCATGTAATCTCTTCTTCTCCCCCC